CCAAAACAAACAACAAAAAAACACCAAAAACCAGAAACAAATGAAGAGACAAAAAGATGATCAAGAACTACAAAGTGCCTGGCTACCACTGACCATTCTGAAAAGGATCACAATAAGAGTCCAAGATAGAGTTGAAAATCCTAAACCACAATAAAACCAGGCTTCCTAATCTGACAAGAGACTGGTGTAACCCCTTAGACTGTAGCCCTTAGTCACCCTTCAGCCTGGCACTGAAATCCTGTGACTCAACTCAATTTTCAGCCAAACAACAGGCATCTAAGGTGAATGGTAACTCCAGGGAGGTTCACAATCTTTAGAACAATGGATCACACAAGATCAAAAGGACAGAATTTTCCCAGGGACAAAGTTCAGAAGGCAAGACTAATGGAAACAGGAAACACAAAAACAAAGTGGGTAAAGTGCTATTGTGTTGTGAGGATTGCAATCAGTATCACAAAACAGTGTGTATGTGTATGAATGGCTGAAAATGGAAAATGAATCTTCTCTGTAAACTTCACCCAAACCATTTAAAAGAAAAAAAAATGCCCGGTATATAAATTCCCATGTTAATACAGGGTTGGCTGAGAAATTATTTCAGACTAGTTTCATACACAGTATTTGCATTTCTTATTCACAAAGGAGAGATAAGAGATTCCAACCACTTAAAACACCTACTTGAACAGGGGTTCATTGGTGTGCTGGCACTGGTGGACTTTCAGCTGCTGATGTTTCTTAAAGGCCTTCTTACAACCTTCAGAGTCACACTGTAGAGAAAGGGTTGTTACTCATTCTTGAGGAAAAGCAAAGAATCCACAATGTGAAGTCAAACTGTCACAAAAACTACTTCAGAGATTATAGACTTCCTACTTTCACTCATCCAGCAACTATTAAGGCCCTATTTTATGTCAAAAAGCTTTATGGCATCACAAAATTTGAAAAAGCACAGATGTTTCAGTTGGCAGAGTCCACCAGTAAACAAAGCCAATTGCCATCAAGTTGACTGAACACATAGTAACTCTTTGAGAGCAGGGAAGAACTGTGTCCTGTGAGGTTTTCATGGAAGGAGATCACCAGGCATTCCCTCCAAGAAGCTTCTGGGGGCATTTGAATCCCTAACCTTCTGCTGAGTGGCTGAGCCTGTTAAGGGTTTGCACCATACAGGGGTCTATCCTATCAACGAGACATTCTAGTTAGCGTAATATTTGCTTTCAAAATGAAACCACTGTTATGATGGCAAACATTACTAGACTGTATGCAGATATCTGAGAGATTAAATTTAGCTGACAGAAATTTCAAAAACAGAGTGAAGCATAAGAAGGTTCCGACAACTTCAAGATGTAATCATCACTCTTAACTTACCACATACTGCCTTTGCTGGTTTTTGTGTTTACGCTCAAAATGTTTCTTCAAGTTTGATTGAGTGTTGAATTTCTGACCACAGCCACTAGCTTCACAACTGTAAGAGAGTTTACAAACCAAAATCTGAACCATGTGAGTATCCTCCTCCTTTATAAAAGCTACAGATTAAGATTTTACTTAGGAGTTTTTTTACTTAGAGTTTTGAATTTACTTAGAGTTTGATGATGTTATATCATCAGAGCAATGATGTCATTTTAGAGACTAAGGTGTGCTTGATCCTGGCCAGGGTCTTCACAATTACATGCTATGCATCAGAAAGCTTGACTATGATTAAGGATGATAAAAGAATCAATGTGTTTGAGTTGTGTTACAACAGATGAGTATGAACATACCATACGCTGCCAAGAGAACAAATGGGTCTGTCCTGGAGAGGGTGAAATCAGGTCATTCCCTGCAGGCAAGCACTGTGGCTCCATCTCATATTTTGGGCATATTCCCAGGAGGGACCAGTCCTTGGAGGAGAAGGACATCATGCTTGGAAGGGTGGAAGGACAGTACAGGAGAGGGAGACCATGATTGAGATGGATTAACACAGTAACTGTAGTAATAGGGGCAGGTGTGTCAGAGACAGAGAGATTGGCTTAGGATAGAGCAGGTTTCAGAGCTATTGTGTGTAGGGTTGTAGTTATAGTCAATTTGATGGCACATAACAATAAGCCAAATAACAAACAAATCTATCTTGGATGAAGTGTAGCTGGAGTGCTCCATAGTGGTAAGAATGCTGTACTCATACACCGGACACGTTACCTGGAGGGACTAGTCCTTAGAAAAAGGCATCCTGCTGGGAAAGGCAGAGGGTCACCAAAGAGAGAAAGACCCTCAACAAGATGGACTGTCATAGTTACTGCAACAATGGGTTTAGGCACAGTGGAGATAGTGAGGATGATACAGGATTGGGCAAAGTTTCAATCTATTATGCATAGGACTGCTATCAGCTGGAATGCACTTGAGGGGCCCTAACAACAAAGTTGCATATAATCTTGCTGGTGTTTCTGATGTGTTAGGTTCTAATTCCATGTAAAAGGAACATGACCCTACCCATCCTTCGCTACGCTCACCATCACTGCTATGTCTGAGCTCACTGCTGCAGCCACTCCATCAGTCCATCTCTTCAGGCACACAGGCCCCCACATCCACCCCCAATCCCAGAGGTCAGGACTCACACAAATGGCTTTTCTCCGGTATGGGTCAGGGCATGGCGGCTGAGATGATACTCCCTGATGAAGACTTTGCTGCAGCCTTCATAGTCACAAGCAAACGGTCTCTAGAAGGAAGAAAAGAAAACCATCCTCAGCCCTGTCCCAGTCAGCAAACACTGGTCTCACCTAAGGGCCTAAAAGTGGTGTGATAGGCACACCCATAAGGACATTTAGTAATGCAATGGTTAAATGCCTAGCTGCTACCTGAAAGGTCAGCAGTTTGAATCTACCGGCTGTTCCACTGGACAAACATACAGCAGTTGCTGCAAATAAGATTTACAGTCCATGGGAAGTTCTACTCTGTCCTTCAGGGTTACTATGCGTTAGAACCAGCTCAACGGTACACAGCAAAGCCATGACCTACCAACGCTGGGGCCCCTCCATACCTTCAGTGTGCTAGGTCCCTACCACCCAAGCCCAGGTGACCTCTTCCTGCAATTACACAGTAACAAATGCCTCAACGGCCCACAAAGCCACTCTGCTCATGGGTGGCTATTTTTTTAATAAACACACAGTAGGTTTTTCTTTTGAGAACAGCATTGGTGCCACATGCTAACCTGTTCTAACTTGCCTCCAGTGAGCCCTGCTGGGAGTGATGCAGTGGTTAAGCACGCAGCTGCTAACTAAAGGCCAGATGTGTGAACTTACTCCACGGAAGGAAGATGTGACAGTTTGCTTCCACAAAGAAAGCAAGGTTTCCAGCCGTCGAAAACCTGGCAGCTTCACTCCGTCCTATAGGGATGCTGTGAGTTACGATCACTTTAACAGCAATGGGTTATTTTAATCTGGTGTCAAGTTCAACAATCATCCCAGAGCTCATCTGAGAGCTCATCTGAGTGCTATCAGCTCAGCCCATTCCATCTACAGAGGTCTCTACCTTCCACATGATTTAAACTGTCCAAAACCTGAACCAGAAGAATCCAAAGGTTCTGCCTAAGCCTGGACAAGCCCAGTGTCAATGCCTAGAGAATGCCAGTCTTAGCCACAAGGAAAGGCATCTCACCGACAATTCAGTTTATTATGTTGTGTTATTGTTATGTGCCATTAAATCGCCTGCAACTCAGCGACCCTATGTACAACAGCTCTGAAACCTGCCCTGTCCTGAATCAGTCTCACTGACTCCAACACACCTACCCCCATAACCCCAGTTACTGTGTCAATTCACCTCACCCCGGGTTTTCCTCTCCTGTGCTGTCCCTCCACCATTCCAAGAATGATGTCTTTCTCCAAGGACTGGTCTCTCCTGGCCATGTGCTATAAGTATGTAAGACAGAGCTTCAAAATCCTAGCCTCCAAGGAGAAACCTGATTCCACCCTCTCCAAGACAGACCTGTTTGTTCTCTTGGCGGTCCATGGTATGTTCAAGACTCTTCTCCAGCAACTCAAGAAATTGATTCTTCCTCTGTCATCCTTTGTCAGAGCCAAGCTCTTGGATGCATAACAGGTAATTATGAAGATCATGGCCTGAATTAGGCTCATCTTAGTCTCTAGACTGGTATCTTTGCTTTTCAGAACTCTGGAGAGGTCCCTGACTGTAGATTTTCCCAGTGCAATTAGTCTTTTGATTTTCTGACTGCTGGTGCCAAGAATATTGATTGTGGAGCCAAGCAAACTGAAATTGTAAACAACCTCATTCTCTTTTCAATCTATCATGGTGTTGCCAATTGGCCCTGTGGTAAGAATCTCTGTCTTCTTAATGTTAGCTTAATACAGTTTATAAAATTTATATTCTATATTATAGCTAATGTTAGATGGATCTAGGCAGAAAACAAGACAGTATCAGAAGAATGTGCTTCATTGACTATGAAATTCAAAGACTGTGTGGATCCCAACAAGTTATGGCTGGCTGACTGAGAAGAATGGGAATCCCAGAACGTTTGATTGTGCTTATGTGAAACCGATACTTGAACCGAAAAGTTGTCAGAACAGAGCTAGGAGACACTGCACAGTTCCAAATCAGGAAGGGTGTTCATTAGGGATGTATTCGGTCTCCATACCTTTTCAATCTGTATGCAGAACAGATCATTCGGGACGCTGGACTGTATGAAGAGGAATGTGGCATCAGGATTGATGAAAGATTCATCAACAATCTGTGTTATGCAGATGACACAACCATGCTTGTTGAAATCGAGGAGGACCTGAAGTACTTGCTGCAGAAGGTCAAGGACTGCAATCTTTAATATGGATTGAAGCTCAACATCAGGAAAACAAAGATTCTCACCACTGGGCCAAGTGGCAGCATCATGATAGATGGTGAAGAATTTGAGATTATTAACAGCTTTAGTTTGCTTGGCTCCACAATCAACACTCTTGGTACTAGCAGCCAGGAAATCAAGAGATGAATTGCATTGGGAAAATCAGCTGTTAGGGACCTCTCCAAAGTAGTGAAGACCAATGATGTCAGCCTATGCCTGATCCAGGCCATAGTCTTTGCTATTACTTGCTATGCAACAGAAAGCTGGGCAATGACTAGGGATGATAGGAGGAGAATTGATGCCTTTGAGCTGTGGTGCTAGAGAAGAGTATTAAATATACAATGGACTGCTTGCTAGGAGAACAAACAGGTTTGTCCTCGAGAAAGTGAGACCAGGTTGCTCCTTAAACACAAGGATTCTGAAGCTTTGTCTGACATACTTTGGGCATGTTGTAAGGAGGCACCAGTCCTTGGAGAGGGATATCATGTTTGGGAGAGTGGAGGGACACTGCAGGAGGGGAAGACCTTCGATGAGATTGATCGATTCAGTGATTGGGGTAATGCGAGGGGTGTGGCAGAGACAGTGAGGTTGGCACAGGATAGAGCAGGGGTTAGGGGTCTTGTAGCTAGGGTCACTATGAGTCACTGTAGACTTGACGGCTCATAACAACAACAGTGACAACAATATTCTAGTGTAGTGACTGTCTTAAAAGTCTGCCAGCTGTTAGCTAAGATACAACTATCAGTCTTGACTAGTCTGGAGCAAGAGAAAGGCTGAAACTTAAGACTCAAATAAGAAACAAGAAAACTAAAGGGAGCTCTGGTGGCTGGCTAGTGGCAAGAAATTGTGCTGCAATCCTGAAGGTGGATGGTTTGGGTCCACCAGATGCTCCACTGGCAATCTCCTCCTGTGCCAGTTGATTCAACTGGACGATAAACAAGAAAGGGGGGAAAGCTAGACTACAGGTTAAAAGTGTCTTCAACTATGAGATCAGAAGAACTAGATGAACAGTCTAATCAGGGACACAGAGATGGAGCCAGAGAGAGATAAAATGGGAGCAAAATGTGGAACAGAATCTCTAAATCTTAAATAAACAGGGAATACTACCCTTGTTAAGACTAGAAGATGCCCCAAGACAATAGTCATGAGATTCACTTTAAACTTTGAACAAGAACCCCTAAAGCCACCTTTTAGCAGATTTAACAGATTGGCTCACAAAAGAATACACATCACCCCTAAACATTGTGCTGCTCAAGAAAACAAAAAAGACCAAAAATGAACAATGTTTTTACAAAGATGGAGACTGTTAAAGAGGGTAGGGAAACTAGATTAACAAAATAATAGCCAGAATCAAAGTATGAGATTTATCACCTACCGTGGGGAAAAAAAAATGTAACCAAAATCACTGAATGGTTTGTGTAGAAACTACTGCAAGGGAACCTAAAATGTGTAATGTAAAATCTTCACCTAAAACAATATAAGATTGTGTCTGTTTTTGTGGGTTTAAGTGAATACATTTAGCAGATGTTTGACCAAACAGCAAACAGCTCACAGCTCTGACTGCAACCATCAGCTCCACTTGGAACTTGATCGCATAGAAGATGGTGACAGAGCCCACAGGAGCCTAGGAGGCATCTCACAAGACGAGGGATTGCTGGCTGTACTGGAATCAACTCAAAGTGGACCCTCCAACAGGCTTTCCGAGGCTGTAACAGCATGAGGGAAGACGGCCCACCTTTCTCCATCCGAGCTGCTGGGGGATTCAAATAACTAGAGAGAGGCAACCTTTGGGTTAGCAGCCTAGTTTTGCAAGTATTAAGCCATCGGAGCTTCTCTGGAAATCTCAGGGGCTCAGTTCTACAGATACACCCAGCAGCTAAAATAGGCTCCACCCAATTGCTGGTTTATGGCCTCGCGCACCTATCAGGACTTCGGAGCGCATCGAGTACTCTCAGCACTAGGCGAGTCCTCAGGATTGGCCGCCAGGCCAGCGCCCCGGGCGGCGGGGAGAGGGGTTACCCCGGCCGGCCCGCCCCACCTCGTTACCTCCCCTGTGTGCTTGCACAGGTGTGCGTCTAGCTTCCAGGCCTTGTTGTAATTGGCACTGCAACCTGGGAAGGAGCAGATGAATCTCCTGGGGACCACGCCGGCCGGTGGGGCGCTCGCAGGGCTCTCGCTGGCCTCGGTGAACGCGTCGGCGATAGTCAGGGACGACACGGCCACAGTGACCGAGGCCGGCGGATCCAGGGCGCCTGGGTGTCCGCACCCAAATCAGGGGCGCAGCCACGTGCAGTGGAGAGATCCCGCGGGACGTTGCCCCACACGCGATGCGATCCGCGCACTTCCGGGTCCGCCACTGCGGTCGAGCTGCGCATGCTCGGCGAGGCCCCGCCCCGCGCTCGCTGAGCCCGCTAGCGTGGAAAGTGATCCCCGATCTGTGCTGCGGGAAACCATGCACCTTGAGGTTCCTTCTCCAGGAGGCGCCCTTCTCCGAGTCACACGGATCCCGTGGTGGTGCTGAGTGTGACACGATTCTCTTTAGCTTGTTCTTAGGAGCTATCTAGTCCCCTACTACTCAGAGCCACCCGATGATGAACAGATCGAACCTTGCCCTGTCCTGCGCCAACCTCACGATCTCTGATATAATCCAGCTAATTGACAAGTCACTGTATCAGTACTGTTAAGGGTCTTCCTCTCTTTCTCTGACCCCTCTACCTTTCAACAAAAGGCATATAGGTTTTTTTCCAAGGATTGGTCTCTCCTGACAACCTGCCCAAAGTACGCAAGACGCAGTTTCATTATCCTTGTCTGTAAGAAGCACCCTGGTCACATTTACTCCAAGACAGACCTGTTTGTTCTTTCGGCAGCCCATGGAATACTCAGTATTTTTCTCCAACACCACAATTCAAAGGCATCTGTCATTCTTCTGTCATCCTCTTCGTTGTTCAGCATTCAGTTATATGTTGTTGTTGTTATGTGCCATCGAGTCGCTTGCGACTCATAGCGACCCTATGTACAAGAGCTCTAAATGCTGTTCTATCCTGTGCCAACCTAGCCGTCTCAAATGCACTTATTCCCACCGCTCCAGTCACAGAATCGATCCATCTCATCCAAGGTCTTCTTCTCCTTCGCCGCCCCTCCACTCTGCCAAACATGATGTCCCTCTCCAAGGACCAATCCCTTCTTGCAACATGCCCAAAATATATCAGACGAAGCTTCAGAATCCTTGACTCCAGGGAACACTTTGGCTTCACCCTCTCCAGGAAAAAACCTGTCTGTTCTCCTAGCAGTCCGTGGTATATTCAACACTCGTCTCCAGCACCACAGCTCAAAGGCATCAATCCTCTATCAACCCTATTCACTGTCCAACTCTCTGATGCATAGCACATAATTGCAAAGACTATAGCCCAGATCAGGCGCACCTTAGTCTCCAGCCTGACATCGTTGCTCTTCAGTACTCTTGAGTTGTCCCTCACAGCCAACTTTCCCAATGCAATTCGTCTCCTGATTTCCTGGCTGCTGTTACCAAGAGTGTTGACTGTGGAGCCAAGTAAATTAAAACTGCTAACTATCTCAATCTCTTCACCATCATGCTGATGCTGCCAATTGGCCCAGTGGTTAGAATCTTTGTTTTCTTGACATTTAGCTTCAGTCCATATAGGAGTCTGTAGTCCTTGATCTTCTGCAGCAAGCGCTTCAGGTCCTCCTCAGTTTCAGCAAGCAGGGTTGTGTCATCTGCATAACGCAGGTTGTTGATGATTCTTCCACCAATCCTGATGCCACATTCCTCTTCGTATAGCCCAGCGTCTCAGATGATCTGTTCTGCATACAGATTGAAAAGGTAGGGAGACAGAATACATCCCTGACGAACCCCCTTCTTGATTTTGAACCATGTAGTGTCTCCTTGCTCTGTTCTGACAACTGCCTCTTGGTCCAAGTATAAGTTTATATAGAAAGTAATTAAAAAGAGCATGATTTAGACCAAGTGTAGCATAGTCTTTAAACTGATATTCTTGCTTCGTAGCACTTCGAGAAGTCTATAACAGAACACTTCCCCCCCAAACAACACATCTTTTGATTTCTGTGGATCCAAGATGAAATTGTCAACAGCTTCAATCTTTTCTCCATTTATCATGATGTAGCCTATGCCCTAGTTGTAAAGATTTTTGTTTTCTTGATATTCAGATGTATCCAACTGTCTTTGATCTTCTACAGCAAGTGTTTTAAGCCTTCATAGCTTTCAGCTAGCAACGTTATTTGCATAATGTAGGCTGCTGATAAGTCTTCCTCCAATTTTTTCATCATACAGATAGAATAGGTATGGAGAAAGGATACAACCTTGATGCACATCTTTTCCTGATTTTTTGTTCTTGTGTTCTGTTTAGACAACAGCTTCTTGGTCTAGGTCTAGGTTTCACATGAGTACAATTAAGTATTCTGAGATGCATATTCTTAATGTTTTCCATAATCTGTTATAACCCACATGGTCAAAATCTTTTCCTTAGTCAATAAAACATCTTTCGGGTAATTTCTGCCTCTAGTCAAGATCCATCTGCCGTCAGCATTCCTCGTTCCACAGCCTCTTCTGAATCCAGCCTGAATTTCTAACAGTTCTCTTCAATGTAGACAATTAAATTCTATGTACTGTTCCAGTCATTTTTAAATAATCTTCAGCCATTTTTTATTTGCATGTGATATTAATGATAATGTTCTATTAAGTCCAACATTCTGTAGGCTTACCTTTTTGAGGAATGGTACTAACTTTACATTTCAAATCTGTTCTTATCACTCTTTGCTATAATTCCTGCAATTCAGGTAACAACACTCAAGTGGAAAATGTAGTCTTTGAGTTCAGGTCTCCTGCAGGCGCCAGCCTTGCCTAACCATTGCAGGCTCTTTTCTGTCTTTGAGTTTCTGTAGCCCTTTCTTTAAGGAGCTTCTGGTGGCACCATGGTTCAGTAGATGATGAATGAACACATTCTCAGCTGCCAGGATAAAAGACCTGGTGATCCACTCCTATTTAGATTTCAGTCTAGGAAGCCCTATGAGGTGGTTCTACCACCCAGTGGCTCTTCCTTTCTGTAGCTGGAGTTGCTAGGTAGTGCAAAGAGTTAAACATTAAGTGACCAGTCAAAAGATTACCTGCTTGAACTTAACTCAGAAGCAAACTGGAAGACTTGAGAGTAGAGGGAGAATGAGAACTCAACAATCCACTACCTTTGATTTGAGTCTGACTCTGGGTGACCCTCCATGAGTGTTCCAAGGCTATACATCTTTACGTTCTCCCTTGGAGCTGATGGTGGAGCTGAAACCCCAGAGAGACATGGCCTTTGGATCAGCTACCCTGTAAAAGCACCCTCTCTATAGAATGTTGTTGTTGGTAGGTGCCACTGAGTTGTCTGTGACTCATAATCACCTATGAACAACAGATCTACACCTTGCCCCATCTTGCGCCATCCTCACCATCTCTAACACGCTCGAGCCCATTGTTACAGTCACTGTGTCAATCCTTGTTGAGTGTTTTCCTCTTTCTCTGACCCTCCACATTTCCTGATATAATGTCTTTTTCCAAGGACATATCTTCCTGACAACATGCACAAATAATATACAGTGCTTTTCTCCCTTGTCACAATTCAAATTCAATTCTTCTTCTGTTTTCTTTATTGTCCAGATTTCAGATGCATAGGAGGACCCTTGTTTGCTTGGACATCTGTAGGTAACCATTCCTTGGAGATCTCCACACACCTTGACTTTCCCTGTGTTGAGGAGTTTCCCAGCACAGGGACCTGCTTCCAGAGGAATTGCTCCACTAGTGACTTTTCATTCTTAATGATACTGTTCTTTTAAAAACATGTTTATTGTGGTACGTGGTGGCCCAGTAGCGAAGCAATAAACACTGAATTGATTCAATAGCATTGGCGATGGGTTAGAGACCTATGATCCAAAGACTACCTACCCAAGCCAGGGTCACTACTGTGGAGTCCATTCCAACTATTAGTGGACTTCTGTTGGTTTCTACGACCATAAATCTTAATAGGAAGAAATTGCCTCATTTTTCTTCTTCAGAGCAGCTGGTGCATTTGAACAGCTGACTTTTTGGTTAGCCATTCAACGTTTAATATATTGTGCTACCTGCACTCCTCCAAAGGCAACAGTGACCCCTTGGAGAACTGCATCTCATTCAACAGCCCAGAAGAGCAGGAGCCCTGCAGAGATTCACACCCTTTTTTCATGTCTTTGAACTTCCAACTGTAATGGATTCATTTTTGTGGTTGAAAATATTTACAGTAGAACACACACCAATTCAACAGTTTCCACTTAAAAGGTTCAGTGACACTAATGACGTTCTTTGAGTTGTGCATTCATCATCCTCAACTTTGAGTTGAGTTCTTCTCTCACTAACATAAACTCACTCTCTAAGGTCCTAATCTAATCTTTGGAGTCGCTGATTTGTGTAGATGGTCTTAAAAGAGTATAATGTTCACGGTAGACATTTTTTTTTTTTGCAAATAAAGCTAACCTGCAGTTTAATTTAAAGATTTCAGGGGATATTTTTTTTTGTTTTAAGTGTTAAAGATAATCTCAGGCAATAGTTTCAGAGGTTTGTCCAACCTCAAAGGCTCCAGCAAGTCTGTTTCGAGTTCACCCTTTCATCATAGTATCTAAGGTGCAACCATTAATCTCTTCTGTCAGCAACAAAGAATAGTGTAGAAAAGCATAGACACAAAGAACAATGAATCTGAAGGCCTAAAGGACCCTGTGAAACTCAACTTCCATTACAGTAAGATCAGAGAACTAGATAGTGCCCAGCTACCATTGCTGACCACTCTCAAAGAAAACACAACAAGGTCTCTGGACAGAGTGGAAGAAAAACTCAAATCCTAAAATAGACTAGGCTTTTCGGTGTCATAGAGATTGATGGCACCTCTAAGACTGTAGACCTAAGACACCTTTCGAGCCCAGAACCAACTTCGCCTTTGTGGTTCAACTTCCAGCCAAATGACAATCCTAGAAGGTGAACAGTTACACCAAGGAGGTGTTTAATCCTTAGAGCTATCAATCACACAAGATCAAAAAGACAGCATTTGCCCAAGTTCAAAGGGTAGAATAAAAAGATGAATGTAAATGAGATGCGTGAGAGAGGAGAGAAATATCAATGGCTATGAGAATCACAAGGGAGTGCTAAGAGTTCTGTTGCCAACACAAAGGTAGGTGTTTTGAACTCACCAGCTTCTCCTTGGTAGAAAGACAGTCCCCTCCCTTGCAATTTACAACCTCTGAAAACCCACGGGAGGGTCAGATCCGACTCAGTGCCAACTTGACAGCAATGAGACATTGAGATTAGAATCACAGGGAGAAAGTGGGGAGATTATAGGTGCTATGTAAGTATTAGGTTTTTACATACCTGATGTTATGCATCAGAGAGTTGGACAATGACTAGAGATAGAAGGAGA